ATCGGCTCCCAAGTGGGTTTCTCCTCACCCACCCACTCTACAAGAAATTGGGTTCGTCTCTTGTGAGTTCGCTTACCAAGAAGCCTTTGGATGAGTTGTCCAACCGTACCGTCGGCTAGAACGGCATCATGGGGCCTCGATCTCCGTGTGGAATCCTTGTATGGTTTCAAAGATCCGGTATTGAATACTGGGTGAAGTCTGTTGCCTGCTTGAATGTTTAGCTCGTACGCGTGGTTATGGATCCTTTTCACAACCGTGTAGTACCTATCCACTTCGGACCAAGCTTGCTTGAGTTGGGTAAACCGGTATGTCTGCGATCCAAGTGTTTTGTACTCAAGTACACTCGATCGCCAACCTCAAAAACCTTGTCCTCTCGATTGCGGTCGTACACGTCACGCATTCTATCTTGTGCTTCTGCAAGCGCGTCTTGACACCGCAGAAGAATAGCGGCTTGGCGCTCGTGAAACTCAGCACCGCGCCGACTAGCAGGAACTTTGCCTCTATTCTCTTCTGCAACTGAAGTGGGTTGAGCGGGATGTATCCAAGATCCGATTCGAAAGGTGCCATCTTGATGCTGCTGTTCACTGTCGAATTCATCGCAAACTCCGCGTTGGCAAGGTGGATATCCCAGTCGTCTTGAACTGGTCCAACGTAACACCTCAGGTACTCTTCGAGTGTTCTATTCATCCGCTCCGTCTGGCCGTCTCCCTGAGCTCGATGCGCCACTGTCATCTTCAGCGTTGTTCCGATTGATTTGAAGACGTGTTGCCAGAACGTTGAAACGAACTTCCTGTCTCTGTCGGATACAATGCTCGTCGGCATCCCGTGCCGTTTGCATACATGGTTGATGAAGAGACGGGCAACACCTTCAGCATCAACCTTTTTCGTGGTCGGAACAAAATGGCATCGCTTTGTCAGTCGGTCTACGACGACCCAGATCGAATCTACTTCCCTCTTTGTTCGTGGCAAGTCGGTAATGAAGTCCATCGACAGTGATTTCCATCGCTCGTCTGGTATTCTCAGAGGCTCAAGTAGTCCTGGTGGTTTCGTTAGCCGCGGTTTGTTTCTTCGACAAGGCTCACATGTACGCGTGGATTGATTTCAACATCTTGGTCCAGTACCACCGCTTAGCGAGTGTCAAGTACGTCCGCTCCGCGCCTGGATGCCCGTTGTAGTTGGCGTCATGACACTCGTGGATGATCGCTTGCCGCAACTTGACGTCGTTGGGCACCACGATACGTGGGACATCATCAGATGGCGTCTGGTACCTCGAACCCTCGATCTTGAGCGTGTTAAGCTCACGTCCTAACCACTAGACGACACCGACACTCGACACCTTTACTCACATATACACACCAAAATTTGCAAACCACACTTACGCATCAGCAACACGCACAGCAAACCATCGCCTTCGGTATAGCAGCGATACTTTCTATGCTGGTGTTGCTTCGCTTTCGGCTGCGAGTTGTCTGTACGCCGCTTGATAGCTGTGAAGATTGTTTGAGCTTCCCGATCCTTCGTGTAGGTTCGTTTAATCTTGGTGACCAATTCACTGTCCGTCGTCACCTCGCTGATCGCTAAACTGAAAGATGTATCGTCGAAGCTGGTCACACTCAAGTCATGGAAGTACTTCGTTCCCGGTTGGAAGTCTGGTCTTCGGCTAATCGCGTCTGCGATTCCGTTCTTCGCACCTGGGAGGTATGAAAACGTTGGATAGTACTCCGCGAGGATATCGTACCAGCGCGCAAGACGACGATTCACCATCTTCTGAGTAAAAAGACCTTCAAGACTCTTGTGATCTGTCTCCACGATTCGTGGTTTGTCCAAGCAGTAAATTCGAAAAGCTGTTAGAGCGTGGACGATAGCTAGAAGCACTTGCTGCTGCGTTGGATGGTTGAGTACCGCAGACTTCATCTTCCTACTGGTGTAAGCTATGGGTAGCTCAACACCATCGACAACTTGGAACAGGACTCTTCCGACGGCAAACTTGCTTGCATCCGTGCGCAAATGCATAGGTTGATTGAAGTCGGGCAAGTGCAGCACTGGTGGATTGCACAGCCGTCGTTTCAGTTCCTTGAAGTTCTTCGACTGCTCTTCGTCGAACTGAATCTTCGCATTGCGCTTGGACTTCTTCTTGAGCAGAGTAAACATACTGGCTGTCAGCTTCGCGAAGTCTGGGCAGAACCGTTGAACGTATCCGGTCAAACCGAGGAAGCTGTGAAGCTCCTCTTGTGTTCTTGGTATCGGCCAGTCCTTGATAGTCTGTACCTTGTCTGGATCCATCCGTACGCTGCCTCTTCCAACAAAATCTCCAAGACATGGAATCT